GTACAAAATATCGAGAGAACAACCTCACGAAGAGGCAAACACAAGTGACACATTAACACTTGTCCCGTAAAGTTCTCCCCCTAAACAGGACTCTCAAGCCCCCTATGGCTACATTATGGATGCTACTGAATGAGAAGGACGGATCTTCAATTTATAGAACTCCAAACCTTTTCCTACAAGAAAAGGGACTACCCAAATATGGATGACTTATATTTTTCATCTAGGAAAAGAAAAACCCAATTAGGGTAAATACGTTGCCCTTTCCTTCATGATATCGGAAAACCAAATATGGTAAGAAAATCAGCACAACACCTAACAATTCTCCCTCTTGGCTTGAATTTTCTGACAAAATAAACTTGATCCACCTTCTTGACATAGCCTTCAATAGGTTTTATCTCCAAATCTCCACCACAAAATTTGCCTCAACAGGCGTAGCACGCCGGTCAAATTTCACAGACAAAAATCACGATTATCGTCAAATATGTTGCGAGTATAAGTGAACCCGCCAAGATGAACCTGTCTTGAACCTCGCTAATACCACTTGTTAGGACCGAAAAAAGTCAGGTGTCATGCGGAAGGTAGTAAAGCAAACCTTCAATGACAATAAATCAGACAACAAAAGAGAAATATACCAAAAGAGACACAAACATTTAACGTGGTTCGGTCAACTGACATACGTTCACAACGGATATGAGCAATCCACTATAATAAAAAGAGAGCAAAATATCGAGAGAACAACCTCACGAAAAGGCAAACACAAGTGACACACTAACATTTGTCCCGTAAATTTCTCCCCTTAAACACGACTCTCAAACCCCATATGGCTACATCATGGATGCTACTGAATAAGGATGAATGATCATTAATTTATAGAAGTCCAAACTTTTTCCTATAAGAAAAGGAGTCAGCCAAATATGAGATATTTATAATTTCCTTCTACAAGAAAGAAAACCCAATTATGGTAAATATTTTACCCTTTCCTTCAAGAGATAGGAAAACCAAATATGGTAAGAAAATAAGGACAACACCTAACAATACCTAACAATTGTTAGGTGTTGTTCTGATTTTCTTACCATATTTGGTTTTGCTATTTCATGAAGGAAATGACAACATATTTACCATAATTGGGTTTTTTCTTTTCCTAGACGAAAAATATAAGTTTTCCATATTTCGCTAGTCCCTTTTCTTGTAGGAAAAGGCTTGGAGTTCTATAAATTGAAGATTTGTCCTTCTCATTCAGTAACATCCATAATGTAGCCATATGGGATTTGAGAGTCTTGTTTAGGGGGGGGAGGGGGAACTTTACGGGACAAGTATTAGTGTGTCACTTGTGTTTGCCTCTTCGTGAGGTTGTTCTCTCGATATTTTGTATTCTCTTTTTATTATAGTGGATTGCCCATCTCCGCCATGGACGTAGGTCATTTGACCGAACCACGTTAATATTTGTGTCTCTTTTGGTATATTTCTCTTTTGTTATTTGATTTGTCGTCATTGAGGGTTTGCTTTTCTAGCTTCCGCATGACACCTGATTTTTTCGGTCCCAACAAGTGGCATCAGAGCGAGGTTCAAGACAGGTTCATCCTTGCGGGTTCAGTTCTAGCCGTAACATATTTGACAATAATCGTGACTTTTGTCTGAGAAATTTTACCGGAGTGCTATGCACATTGAGACGAACTTTGTGGCGGAGATTTGGAGATGCGACTTATTGAAGATTATGAGAAGAAGGTGGATCAAGTTAATTTCGTCAGAAAATTTAGGCCAAGGGGGAGAATTGTTAGGTGTTGTCCTAATTTTCTTACCATATTTGATTTTCCTATCTCTTGAAGGAAAGGGCAACATATTTACCATAATTGAGTTTTTCTTTTCCTAGATGAAAAATATAAGTCATCTATATTTGGGTAGTCCTTTTTCTTGTAGGAAAATGTTTGGAGTTCTATAAATTGAAGATCTGTCCTTCTCATTCAGTAGCATCCATAATGTAGCCATAGGGGGCTTGAGAGTCTTGTTTAGGGGAGAACTTTACGGGACAAGTGTTAACGTGTCACTTGTGTTTGCCTCTTCGTGAGGTTGTTCTCTCGATATTTTGTACTCCCTTTTTATTATAGTGGATTGCTCATCTCCGCTGTGGACGTAGGTCAGTTGACCGAACCATGTTAAATGTTTGTGTCTCTTTTAATATATTTCTCTTTTGTTGTCTGATTTATCGTCGTTGAAGGTTTGCTTTACTAGCTTCCGCATGACACCTGACTTTTTTCGGTCCTAACAGTTTCTTCGTGCAGGTATCTGATGCAATCCCTGTATCCTCTTTACTACCTTGTGCATATGACAGAGTACTGTAACAGTAAGGTGAAAACTACGGAAACAACCTTGTCTAACTAAACTATTATTCCCTCCGTTCATTTTTACTTGTCCACTATTGACTTTGCACACCCCTTAAGCAGAGGCGGATTTATGCGGAGTGGATGGGGTACATGCACCTATGCTCCCCTCCCTAGGTCATGTATAAACAGTACCAATTTTAAAATTATCTATATAAATATGTTTGTGGTCACCGTAGTTGGTGCCTTGTTGTCCCCCAAGTCAAGGGTTCGATTTCTAGTCTCTGTATATTTTTTTAATTAAGTTTTTTTTTTCCAAATTTTTAAATGTAACTTCTCTCTCCTTGAAGTTTGAAGTCTTGAATTTTGATAGTTTATTAAATTTGTGCACATATTATGTTTGAGAAAATGCTTGACTGAATCAAAGATTGAAATCCATGGAAAAAAGCATGGAAGGAATTTTGGCTTCTGTTACTTTGGGACCTTTGTCCAAGTTTCAATTTTGTTTTTTAGTTGTACTTATCATTTTGAGTTGGTAAATAAAATTTGTTTTAGTTAGCAAAAAACAAATTGAACAAGGAACTGCAAATACTATCTTTAAAGATAATGGTGCACCCATGTTCTCAAAACGTTGGATACGCCTCTGCCCTTAAAAAATAATAAATAAAGTATAAAATTTACTATGATACCCATATTAATTGGTGTATAGTCTTAATGAATTTGAAAAATAATTTGAAATGAGTAAAAAATGAAATTTTATTTTTAGAACAAGAGAAAAAATAAATTATTTTTGATATGTGAAAAATGACAAGTAAAAATAAAAATTTATTTTTAGAATACTTGACAATTAAAAGTGAACGGAGGGAGTAGATAATTTTCCAGTTTAACCCTTTCCAGCGCCCCTTGCTTTAGTCTCATTCTATGAAAACTTGTATTAGAACCTGATACATATATCCTCTCTAAGCCTAAAAGAGGACATAAACAAATATTATAAAATTAAACATATGAAATTTTGTAAAAAGAAATATCTGGGAGACAAGTACATTTATATACAACAAAAACAACTAAGCCTCAATCTCAAGCTAGTAAAGGTCAACTATGTGAATCGTCACCATCTATTTAGCTCATTTAGACTCATCTTCTTACGTTAATAAATAAGTTAGGTTCGCAAAACCTAGAAGTTATCTACATTTTCTATCGATATACAGAACCCCGTAAATATTGAAAAGACTCATAGCAAATGTTGGACTTATGTGAGCGTACCAACAAGTGCAAGGCATAAATTCAGCTAGATGGTATCGTCTAATTGTCTACCGGTAGGTTAGAGTAGACAAAAAACTTACTTAGACCACAAACGCCGGAAGTTAGAGATTATAGTTGGAACGTTTGTGTTACTCCTAACAATAAAATTGTGTCTCCTCCGTTGAGCTGATTAGTTATGATGCTTATGACATTCTTTGAGTTTGATTTAGCATATGAATTATTTTATGTGAGGTTATACGATGAGAATATTAAGCAAACTCGCTAGCCCCTAGTTAGGGTGTGATAAACTTGGTATCAGAATACTGAATGAATACGGTGAGTGCCATATCTATAGCCAGTGACTATGTGGAAGGATATTAGGCTTTCTAATATACGTCATTTTAGGATTCTTTTGATGTCTATAAGTGTCTAGAGCCAAATAAGCGTATTAATTAAAGATTGTGCTTATGCCATACGACGAGGACCAGATCCGTGAGCAGAGGATCCAAGATTGAGACTTTCGTTGTGTCATATGCAGCATCAGATAGACCAGGGGCCGTAGTAGATGTCGAACATTGTTACAATATCTGTGATTAAATACCAAACTGCTGGCCCAAGGTTAGCAATGTCTCTAGTAATTCTTTGGCATCAGGTCTTTCACTTGAGGAGACACTTAAGCATTGCAGAGCAATTTCAAGCACTAAAAGCATTTGTTGGTGAACTTGAGTAGATTTTCCACTCACTCTGCTGTCAAGAACTTCACCCAAATCTTCATGCTGGATTGACTTGCTTAATACCCACTTAGCCAACTCCATTCCTTCACTAATGGCTGGTTTTCCAGTTAGCAGCTCAAGCATTATCACCCCAAAATTATACATATTACCAGCCTCAGTTACTCTCATCACATATGCATATTCTGCAAATACAAAAATTATGGTTTAAAACAGGACTTTGTAAAAAAAACACTGAGGTAATGTTGGAACTGGATTTTACGGAATCATGTTAGATCATTGGAATTAGACATGAAATTTGTGTTATTTCTTGTGTAGTTCTATTTAAAAACAAAAGGAAAGCAATATACAGAGTTGCTCATTGGTGGACCTGGTGTCTTACATTTTAAAGGAGTAAGATTCAATGAGCTGGTCTCTTACAAAGAATTATAACGAAAGGAACTATAAATGAAGTCCCTAAAGTAATAAACACTAAGAAAGTGAAAGTTGGTTCGTTATGCTTTATTGACAAGATGATGTCTTTGTTGTGGTTGTCGTCCTACCCAAGTAGATATAGTTGTTGGCTTCATACTCTCAAGATGCAACGAACCATTAAATTTCTTGATTTACAGGAATTCTTGAATCCTTAAAAGTCTCTCTATTGCCTTCTCAAATATAGGAGAAATAGTATGTTGGGTGAAGTGAGTGATATTTATGTAGATAAGTATAAGATTTTATGAAAACACAGCAATAAAGAGCATTCATTTAAGTGATAAATTTCTAATTTAACAAATGAATCAAGTCGCTATCTTAATCATAAATGATATATGCCGTATCAGATTCAACAACATAAGCAAGGGGGGCCATGGTGTAATTGCTAAGGTGGCCTATATTGACAAGCCCTTTTTTGAATCTTTCAAAGCTATGCAAGTTAAATGACTTGCTCTGCCTCTCAATCTTCTTGAAGCAATAGTATATACCACAAGGCATCTAACCTTGTAGTATGTGTAGAATTCATTGCTTTGCATAAAGTTAATTGGCCCTACAAATTGCAGCCATTGTCTTGGACAATTTAATTTGAGACTTGTGGAGGTCATCATCAGTGATCCAATAAAACTCACTTCTGTGCAACCTCTTTAAAAACAACGTACCAGATACAAATTGTTGCAAACATACCAAAAACAAAGCCACCTAAAACAAAGAGGAGGACTATGGTCGATGAAAATGTCGTGCCCTTTTCCTCATTGTTTTCTGAAATTGGGGAAGGATTGATCAGATCCCTATTTCCATTTGTCTCAACAATGACAAAGCTTCCAAACTCTGGACGAACTCCAGAGAGTTGATTGTTTGAAAGCACCAACCTAGTCAAGCCTCCCATTTTAGTCAGAAAGTCGGGAATCTGACCTGAGAACCTGTTGTAAGAGAGATCCAAAACTTCCAATGAAGTCAATCTAGATAGAGTAATTGGTATAGGTCCTTCAAAGAGATTGTGACTGAGATTCAAAGCAATCTGCAAACTTAGCGGCATTGCTGGAATCACCCCACCAAGTTGGTTCCCTCCAAGTTGGAGTTCTAACAATAAATTTAAGTTACTAATGTTAGGCAGAATTTGACCACTTAGCTTATTCCCCTGCAAATTCAAGTTTGTGAGGTTTTTCAAGCTGGCTATTGAACTTGGTATGGAGCCATTCAATGAATTCCAGCTCATATTGAGCTTCTGCAATCTATTCAACTGCGAAATGTTACTCGGAATATCCCCAACTAGGTTATTGGACTGAAGATTCAGTACCTGATGATTAGAAATATCACCCAGCTCTACTGGAATAACACCACTCAGCTTATTCTGGGCTAAGTTCAAAAGCGCCAAGTTTTGGCACTTCCCCAATTCAGAAGGAATTGGTCCACTTAGCTGGTTTTGGTCCAGCTCCAAGTAGGTCAAACTCTGAAGGCTTCCAAAAGAAACAGATGTAATCGACCCATTCAAAGCATTGTCCCCTAATCTCAACCGAATCAAATTTATCGACAAGTTTGTAGGAACAGGTCCCTCCAACTTATTGGAAGTCAGATCAAGAAACTGCAAGTTCATTGGGGATAACAGGTCCTGAGGTATTATACCAGTTAAACTGTTAAAGCTGAGGTCTAAATTCCTCAGGTTCTTGGTTAAGCCAAGGGGTATATTTCCAACAAAACGATTCTGATTCGCAGCAAAACGCGTCAATGTTTTGATATTCCCAATGGATTGTGGGATTGTTCCACTCAAATTATTGGCTGATAAAATCAAAACTTGCAATTTGGAAAGTTCTCCTAATCTATCAGGAATGACACCAGATAGAGAGTTAAGAGAAAGGTCAATCAAAGTTAAGTTGCCAAAGTTCACAATTTGAGTGGGGAATTCACCTTGAAAAACATTTGCAGAAAGTTGAAGCTCCTCCAAAAGATTAAATTTTCCAAGACTGGTAGGAACTGAACCAGAAAAATTGTTGAAGCTAAGGTTCAAACTCTTGAGTGAGTTCAATCCATCCAACTGCAAGTCAACTTTCCCATTCAAGTTACTATGAGAAAAGTCCAAAGACTCCAAATTTCCAAAACCAGTGAAATTAGGCAAAGAATCCTCCAATCTGTTCCTACTAAAGTTCAACCCTATAAGCCCCCCACAACCAGTGATGAACCCATCTGGGAGTGAGCTTAAATTGTTCTGGGAAACATCAAGGGACTCCAAAGTATTAATTTGACAAATAACAGGCAAGAAGTCAGAGCTAGAAATTGAAAACAATGAAAAGGAGATGTTTGTTATGGAAGAATTATCATTAGAATTGCAAGAAATTCCTTTCCAAGAACATGGGTTTGAACTTTTATTAATCCCATCCCATACAAAAGAAGTAGCAGTATCATTCTGAAGCATATCATAAATCTTTCTCATGGTATTAATTTGGTCAGTGTGCAATTGGGAACGCACCAAATGAAAAAAGAAAGACAAGTATAGAACAGAAATGAGATAGACATAGTTTATGATCATTGTGGCTTGGATTGATTAATTTTATGGTTCCAAGAATTGAAGTTACAAACATTAGTAGGCAATTTTCATGCAGAAGAAGCCATAAAAAAAGGAGAAAGATCAATCAACATCAGTCGTGAAAGACCTTGACTTATGTATGTTTATCTTCTGCATGTGTATCGACAGTTAAAAGATTTTTTAGGTTATAGAGCAATACATGGATTAAGTTGTACTGATAGTGTAAAATTTGTTTACACAAAGCTACATTGGCATGATACTCAACATTCATCAGTTGCCATTTGTACTCTATATTCAGATATCCGTCCGGCATTGGAGGAGCTCCTATTCATGATTTATCTAATTCTGTGAACCATATGCAACTGCAGGAGCGGACCTAGAGCCTAGAATACGGGTTCCCGGGAACCCAGTAATTACTTTTACATAGACCCCGTATTTATATTAAGAAATTCACTAAATATTTGTAAATATCTAATTGTAAATCCAATTATTATTGCATATTAATCTAAAATTACGGTAGGAACCCATAAGTCTCAAATCCTAGCCTGGATCCGCCATGCAAGTAATCTATACTCAATTCTAAATAAAAATTTTAAACTTGCCGCCTTTTTTTATTTAAATTGTCAATATCTTGATTTTGGACATAACGTAAATCAAAAAGCAATCATATATATACACATAGCTAGTTATCCCAAGCCCCGATGGCATAACATTGACGTTAAGCGTAAATATAATATGTGATGACCCAAAGGGTTATCTTGTGTTTTAGAATCCGAATTCGGGTTTCGAGGCCTAAAAAACCTCATTTTCTTTCTCCTCGATTTGCGTGTACAATCCCGACGCGTTTCCGGAAAGCCTTTATGTGAAATTTAAGAAAAATATTGAAATTTACCTTTAAAATTGATTAAAGTAGACTTTGGTCAACGTTTTTGGTAAACGGACCCGGACCCGGACCCGTGTTTGACGATCCCGTAGGATCCATAGTAAACTATGGGACTTGGGCGTATGCCAGGAACCGAATTCCGAGGTCCCTAGCCCGAGAAATGGATTTTTGAAGAAAATTGTTTGTTGGAAAATATAAGAATTTTTAGAAATGGTATAGTGTGTAATCTCGTTGGTATCGAGCCCGTATTTTGGTTCCGGATCCCCATACAGGTTTGATATAGTATTTAAGTCGTATCTGGGAAATTTGGTGAAAAATGGAATAATTTGATATAATTCGAACCCTTGGTTGAGAAAATAGAAATTTTGAACTATCTTGAGAATTTCATGAGTTTTGGTGCTAATTTTGTTGTTTAAGATGTTATTTTGGCGATTTGATCGCATGAGCAAGTCCGTATGATATTTTTAGACTGTGTGCATGTTTGGTTTGGAGCCCCGAGGGCTCGTGTGAGTTTTGGATAGGCCACGGGGTGTTTTGGAACTTAGGAAATATTGCTAGTATGCTTCAGCTATTACATCTCGCAATTGCGAGATCAGGCTTGGCAATTGCGAGCTTCACGGGCTTGGCAATTGCGAGCCTTTCATCGCAAATGCGACCAAAAGGATGGGCTAGCATGTTCGCTTCCTTCGCATTTGTGAAGTCAACAGGGAGGGTCAACCTTCGCAATTGCGACAAATTATTCGTAATTGCGAGAGTAGCAGACATGCAGCAGGTTCGCATTTGCGAAGCCTGTCTCGCATTTGCAATCTTCGCAATTACGAAGCTCTTGTCACAAATGCGACATCTGCAATTGATCAAAACATCACTTGGACGGGATTTTGAACTCATTTCTCAAATTTTAAACTCTAAGCTCTCATAGGCGATTTTCCAAAGGAGAGTTCTTCCCCAAATCATAGGTAAACGATTTCTAACTCATTTTCTTTAATATTTTTCATCTTTTTACATGATTTCATCTCAAAATCTAGGGGTTTTCATGGGAAATTGGGTGTTCTTGAGTAGAATTTAGGAATTCCGAAATTTGGGGATTTAGACCTCAAATTGAGGTTGGATTTCAAAACCAATTGCATATTTTGGTGAATGGGTGAATGGGTAATCAGGTTTTGGTTCGAACTTCGAGTTTTGACCAAGTGGGCCCGGTGTCAGTTTTTGACTTTTTGGGGAAAACATTGGGAAATCTATACTCATGCATTTAGAATTGGTTTATTTAGCGTCAATTGATGTTAATTAGTTAGTTATGCATAGATTCGGACGGTTTGGAAGTGGAAATCAAAGAAAAAGCGGTAATTGAGGCTTGATTTTTGGCTGTAGAATCGAGGTAAGTGTTTGGTCTAACCTTAGCTTGAGGGAATAGGTATTGTTATCTTATTTGCTATGTGTTAATATTGAGTACGACGTATAGGTGTGGTGACGAGTATCTATACGTTGATGTTGAGCATGCAAGTGAGTCTTAAATTGTGACCGTTGTGATTCTTACTATGTACTATTCATGCCTAAATTGATAATTCTCCATGTTGAACAAGTCTTTTGATAATTTTCTTGGCATTGGATAATTGTTAAGTATTGACTCGTGTTGAGGCTTACATTGTGAAATTAACTGTTGAAACGAGATTGGTTATAGCTGATTCCCTTGCCGGGATATTATTGTTTTTATTGTTTGGGTGAGGAGGAGTGTAATGCACGAAGGATGATGTCGTGCACGATATTGTGAGAGAGTGTTAAATGCACGAAAGGTGATACCATGCCATATTCAGTGAGTGTTAATGCATGAAGGGTGATATCGTGCCATGATTATGAGAGAGTTAATGCACGAAGGATGATGTTGCGTCGTTTCTGTTGATTTTATGGTGAGGACGAGAGTAAAATCACGAAGGTTAATGTCGCGCACGTGTTACTGTGTTATCATTTCTGTTGGTTCAAGTTTGATATTTACCTTACTTCTTTACTTTATTACTGTTATGATATGATATTCCCCTCAGCATATTTTCCTTCCCGTCTTTATCTGTTAAATTCCTGTTATTATTGTTTCTCGTATATGATTTAATTGTACGGGTTATTTTGTTGTCGTGTCCTAGCCTCGTCACTACTTCGGCGAATTTAGGCTCGACACTTACCAGTACATGGTGTCGGTTGTACTGATACTGCACTCTGCACTTTCTGTGCAGATTTCGGTACCGGACCTTGTGAGTAGTGTTGAGGTTGCTGCCTTCAGTCCACGGGAGACCCAAGGTACATCTGTCGGCGTCTGCAAACCCTGGAGTCCCCCTTTTTCCCTATTTCGGATTATCTGTCTCTTTCCCTTTCGAGAACAGTTGTAATTCTTTAAGTCAGTATTTATAGAACTTCTTAGACATTTGTGAATTGTGACACCAGATCATTGGGGTAGACATGTATTGGAGTATTTTGAATTATATAACACTTCCGCACTTTAAATCTGTTTAGTTTTTGTTATTATTTATTTATGTTTAGGTTAATTGTTAATGTGTTAAAACCGTAATTGTTGGTTTGCCTAGCATTTAAGAGTTAGGCGTCATCACGATCCCCACGATGGGAAATCCGGATCGTAACATAATCTAACAATAAATATGATAACATTCTGTAGTATTAAAATGAAACGAAATATAGATGGACAACAACAACAACAACGCCCCAGTATAATCCCACAAGAAATATAGATGGACGAAATACAAATTAAAGATTTACATAATTGAATCAACGAATTTAGAATTGGTTCAAGTCCAAATTAAAGCTAGTTTTGCGGGGTGAGTCACTGTCGAAGGAAATAGACATGACATAGAAAAGAACAAAAGAACGTCTAGACATTTCTTGCAATTAGTCCTCCTATTCCTATATCGTGTTTGACGGGGTTGGGAGTCGTGTTTAATAAATGTTTTTTCTTAATTATTCCAAAATACTTACTAGACTTTGACTGGTTCTAAGTCGTGCTTTTGAGGATTCTTCCACTATAGAAAATTTAAGGCAAATATATGAAATGAGTACATGCAGCAATATGTATACCACAAACATGGTAAGAATATGTTCACAATTATTATAAGAGCATTATGTTTTCTTTAATAGAATAATCAGTTAATTGAAATTCGATAATTAAGCTTCATTAGATGCTTGTCAAAATAATAAGACTTTTATTTGTTAACTCTTCTAAAGGTTGTAATTTTTGTGCTAATTATATTTCTCCATTACTTAATTTATGGGAGGATATATTTGTTTTTTTATATGTGATAATATAGTTGTACATAAATTAGTCATGATGCAAAACTGAAACTTCTTCGAAACTCGTCTCGTCTTGGTATATTTTCTTAAAGGTAATGTGTTTGTGCAAGGCACGTGATATTTTTAACGTTTTTCGACGAAGTAAAGCTCGTTTATGTTAATTTAGCATTTCTTTAAGAGAAAATTCGCTCTTTTAGTGTTTGTATACCCTATATCTCACCTTCATATGAGCAAATGTTGAAAAGAGTGATTTTTTTCTATGAAATAAAAGTTCGATCGATGAAATTGGAGAAACAATTCAATCTTCAAGCTAAACGTTGTTGTTGTGCAATCAGAGATATGAGAATAATGGACAAAGGTAGATCTAATTGTCAACTGCTCTAATAAAGAATACTCCTATGATGGATCAACAATGTTATATTTTCTTAATTTTCCATTAAAAAAATAAGCTGAATCTTCAAAAATTGCATGAACCAGAATTTGTTTGATCATTAGATTGACGAATAAAATGATCACTTCCAACTAATACGAAACAAGATCACTCAGCTCAAGAACGATAGGTACGATATTCTAGTATTTTCTTAATCCATTACACTCTCCGTTCATTTTTACTTTATCATTTTTCGCATATCAAGAGAAAAATAATTTATTTTTCTTATTTTGCCCTTCGCATTAATTACTCATTCCAAATCTATTAAGACTATAGACAGACTAATATATATGAATATTATGGTAAATTATGCACTTTATTTATTATCTTTTAAATGACGTGAAAAGTTCAAAGTGAACAACTAAAAGTGAAAGGAGTGAGTATATATGAATTTCTAGTTCCTGTCACACACGTGTGGTTCATTATATGCCTTTATTTCTAACTCATGTCTACTTCCCACGTTACCATTATTCGTTCGTGTGAGTTTTAACGTATGACAAAGGCTGACCAGTTCAATTCTTCCTACTATTTTCAATAATAATGCAGACATACGCGTTTTCCAAAATTTCCATCTTTTCTTAAGTATTTTCTCGTTTCCGATTAGTCAAAAGTGGGGTCTACACCTTGTGGAAATAGCATAAGCTTTTTCACAGTTGATGAAGTAAGGCAGTGTTTGTGTCTATTCCTGTGTCAGTCAACCTAAGAATAAGAAGAAAATAAAGACAACATGAGAAATTTCCACAACGTCTTCCCCACGACTCGA